AATAGTAATACACACGTTATCAATCGGGTGGCATGGGACTCGGTGGTTCATCCTAAGGTTGGGGGAGGGCTTAGAATAGTGGACCCCCCCACACAGTTTCAGACCCTGAGCGTCCACTGGATCCAATATATTATCTTTGAAACCTCCTCCCCCTGGGTTCCCCTGACACTAACGCAAATCGCGGCCTTGGCCCCGGAAGCCCCACCAGAAACAGACCCTCTCATATGGATTGAGGACAGATACTGGAGACTCCCCAGGAAATACACGAATGGTGACCCGTTGGACGAACACTGGATACGCCTTTTGCGCACGTGGAGGAGATTCCCACTCCCCGACCGCCCCACCCTGGACAGATGGGAGGAGATAGTCACGCAACCGCTGTTCGGCAATAGATTAATCACAGATCCTCTCGGTCAGGTAAGGAACAACTCGGACTCCCCCTGGAAAATCTGGGTGAAACACGGGGTGCTGAGGGTGAGGGATCTACGGGATGGGGAAAACGGAGAATGGAAAAGTGCAGGAAGAATGAAAAGTTGCTTGCGCTACTGCCACTCCCTCGAGTCTACAATGGAAGAACTTGTTGAAAGTTTTCCCATCCAATGGTACACTAGGCTAAAGAAAGGTCCAACATTGGAAGAAAATGATTGGGTGGGGCTACCTGTCCATGAATCACAAGTAGGCCTAGTGCATCTAGTCGATCAGGCACAAGTCCTGATTGATTGTTACCCTATTACAGAATCAGGGCGACTACAAGGGAATAGTCAACCTTTCATCTGGAAAAGGAAATCAGAAGTCTATCGCATCAGGGTGATTGAAGAAGGGAACGGTTGGAGAGTGTATCGTCCAATGACCCCGATCGAGAACCTCCCCCTTGATCCCCAAAAATGGAGATGGTCGTGGAAAGGCAAGGGAGGGCGGGGACGGGGGGAGGAAAGAACGGTCCAACTAACCGCCCTTAAAACGAAGTTAGTCTACCGGATGCTCAGACCCAAGCGCAGGCTAAGAGACGTGGTGGCGGACAGATGGCAGCGCCATCTAAACGTAGACCAAAGCACACTCAAATCTATCCAATGGTCAGCGAGTATCACAAAAGGCCGGCAAAAATCTCCGCTCTTCAATGGCAAATCATTCACCGTTGCCTGCCGACCAATAACTGGCTGATTGATCATACACAACTCGAACAACAAGGAAGGGCGCTTCCGTGGTGTCGGGGCTGCTACCAAAATTTCCCCGGAAAAAAAAGCGCCCTGAGACGGTCGAGCACATCTTCCTACAATGCCCTGCAGCTGTCCTGCTATGGAGATGGTGGGATAGGATCTGGCGGCACATCGTCCCAGGCTCATTATGGCCTTGGGAGTGGAGGGCAATTCTGTTGGGACACTGCCCCCACTTTTGCGACAACACCTTTGTAGCAAATATGTTCTCCCTGGGCCGCCGTACAGTCCTCTGGACCATATGGTGGCGAAGATGCATCTTGGAATTAGAGGGGGCAGGGTAGAGGAGGGGGAGGTCACAGAACAGATACGGCTGCTCTTCCAATATGAGATCATGGCACAATGGCACAGCGTTAAGGAAAAACTGAGTCAGGTGCACAGCAGGGGTGACATTAAAAAAATTATCTCCCGGTTCTGTGAAGGCTGGCTGGGGGGGGAGAGGGAGGGCTGGGTCGCGAGGGTGGTCTGGACAGGAGACAGGTTGGACCATGGAGAAGGTCAGGAGGGAGACCTGGAAAGAGACTACCAGCTTCTCTTCAAAGATTGGACAAGGGTGGATCCCAGAGAACAGCTGAGACCTGTGCAGGATTTCGGTGATCCCTTTCCTCCTCACCCGTTGGCCCTGGAGGAATATCTGGGGGCTTAGAGTCATCTAAATCACTCAAATACACGGCATAGCAAGTTGCAGGCAAGAGGTAGGAAGAAAAAGGATTAGATATGGGACGCTGGACCCGGTTTCCAGCTCAATGGCGTCACTTTCAATGATGGATTATGAAAAAAAAAAAAGATTTCTCAGTCTTTGCCAGTCCTTCTGGTTCTTCTTACTTCTCATTTGCTGCCCATTCTACTTCTCATTTTGCACCACGAGGACAGTAGATGGTGGGTAGGGCTGGGTTTCGGAGGGAGTCTCCACCGGTGCCCCCCCCCCACACCCAACCACACCCCAGGGTAGGCAGGGATGTTATAATCCGGACATGGGACGCTGGACCCGGTTTCCAGCACTGTGGTGTCAGACTCAATGGTGAAGAAGAGAAAGATGTATCTAAGGGACGCTGGACCCGGTTTCCAGCAGGTGAGACTCCCCACCAATAGATGGAGCGGCCCACCAGACAAAGCCTCAATCTCGGTGGTTCTCTTACCACCACTGGGATAGAGGTTTTGCACAGGCTTTAAAAAAAAAAAAAAAAAAAAAAAAAAAAGAGCAAATGGGCTGGTGGTTTGGACCTCAGTTCTGGGCAGCAGCCCAAGGAACCCGAGGGGGTGTTGCAATCCTCATTGCTCGGACTGCACCGCTTGTTGTGACCGATTTCAGGACTGATCATAATGGAAGATGGGCCTGGGTCCGGTTTACTATTTGTCAATAAGAATGGGCCATTTTCAATTTGTATGCACCTACAAGCCAGGCTGATAGGGTTGAACTTCTCAAATTTATTCCCTGGCGTATACCACAAGTTGAAAACATTATTTTGGGGGGTGATCGGAATACACCGCTTGATCCAGCGGCCTAGCTCAATTGGTTAGGCACGCAAGTGACATTCAGGAGGTCGTGGGTTCAATCCCCAGCGGCCTGTAGCAGTCTTGGTGCCAACCAACTGAGATAGTCAGCTGGATCCTCCCAGTCAGTATTAGCAAGGTCTTCAGCCAACATGGGTGTGAGTGTGTGTGTCAGTGGGTTGCGTGTGGTGTGTGGGAGAGTGTTGGCTTTAGACACTACCGTTACTCGATGGCGGTGGGGGAAGATGAAAAGGGAGGCACAGTTACTGGCGAATGCTCGGTCCTTGTGTTAGCCGGGCCCCCACCGGCGGCCCCAACCCTGCACCCTAAACGCTAGGGCAAAGGGGCAAACATGCCGTTACCCCTCTCCTGGTAACCTCCCTTCACCGAAGAGTGGTAGAAAGCTATGCTTGCAGGGGTCCCCTGTATAGCCTTAGGAGTAGTGGTAGGTATGAAAAGAAAGATATGTTCCGTGACATGGCAGGACGCCAGTTAAAGACATGTGAGGTGAGAGAAAAATATATGGCCGTCCCCCCATGAGGAGAAGACAAAAAAAAAAAAAAAAGAATACAACGCTTGTGCCTGGAATGGATTATTTCAATTTCTTTGCGAGTGGGTCCTGTTACCTCAGATGCTGTTCAACTTTCTGATTTAGGTATGCACAGGGTCTGTTTTGAGAATGTTTACAGTGAGCTCTTTCGTGAATGTTTTTTTTTTTTTTTTGTTTTTTTTTTTTT